TATTTGTTTCTCAAGGCTGCGGAGCATTCCGTTTTTATTTGACACGTGACGATTCACTAACAAGTCGAGTCAACGCCAAGGATTCCCAGGAAACCCGGTGACGTGGGAGGTCTTGCTAAATTGGTGAAATGCAAGCTCACATAGAAGCCTCGTCCACCCTAGTCGCCCCGCTGGCGAATAAATCAGATTGTAATACGGTGAGTCAAGATAGCTAGCTTTTTTACGTCTTATTGAACCTTTACTCAATAATTCAATAGGCACCTATATAATTTGTTGCGAAAGGAAAAACCAACGACTTTGTCTAACCAATAGTTGTAAGAAATAAGTAATACTGCGCTTTTAAATTTCTATGGGCAGAACAAAAGTCATCATTGTCTCATTTCAAAGTACACGAAGAAAACTTATATAGCGTTTTAAAAAGTGTTCAAACGTTTACTGCAGAACTTACTTTATAATAGATTGAAGAAAAGTGACTCCATCTATGTTTTCGATAAATTAATACCTAGCTTTCGATAGATTATAATACAAACGAAACTCGCCAGTAAACATACACGTTAATTTAACAGATATTCAACGAAGTTTCGAAAAGCGGTGCCAGCAAGAGAGCTGCCGGCTATACCCCGATATTGTCGCTATTTTGCAAATAGTCTAGTCTGAGATTTGGCGGTTTCTGTATTAGACGATCTTAATAACATTCGCGGCAATCGAAACTATATCTGCCCACATCTTCAATCTTAGCGTGGATTTCTAGTAAAATATTCGTCAATGAGGACTAAAATTTAATATTTTATTTGCGGAAAAAGGAGAGTTTATTTTTTATTATTTATAGATGCATAAGAATTCACCTACAAACAATTTTGAATTAATGTATTTATAAAAAAAATATAAAAAAAATATGGGTAAAACCGGCGACGAACGAAAAGAATCTACCTTTAAATATATATGATATGGTTTATGGAACAGATACCATTTTAAAATTTTATTTTATTATCCACTTTTTATATACCAACCACTATAAAACCACTTTTTACAACTAACCTCTTAAATGTGTGTACAAAAAAATCCACCCGTTTTTAACTTTACATTGTTCATTAATAAGTTATAAACGGGTGAATTTTTTGAAAACGTCAAATGTTATAATGATTTAAATATTGAAACCATAAGAAAATACCATAAGTAAAATAAAAATACTATGACCGAACATTATTTTCATCCTACGTAATACTCCTATGTCGGGTTAGGTCTTTAGAGATCCGAACATCCTTTCATTCAACTCCTTACTTTCATAGCAGATTGACAAGACTTTGAATTTGTTTATAAAGAGTAGGTGTTACAGTGAAGCAAAGTCGTTTTGTGAAATCGGGCGCACGCTTGGTACGGGCAGCAGTAATTTACGTCAAATTTCAACTCATAATCGACTCGTCTTTGAGCGCAAAGCCGGCTCACACGCGCGATGCATGAGTGAATTTGCATGGACCGCCGCTTGACACACGAGGTGTTGCTTTACAGGACGTGGGCGCGGGCCTTATTTCATGCTCCGTGGAACATCTTATCGCCTGAGGTGGGCCGCTGAAAGCTCAAACCATAATTCCTAATGCTCGTACCCTCAAAGACGTGTGTTTGCTTTTGAGGTTTGCTGCAACCGCCATTATATTAATTACGTTTTAAATCCTTCACGCCCTGTATGCTAAGGAGTTACAATTAAAGTAGATGAAGCTTTAATAGTCTCGGGACTGAAAGCAAAAACATCAGTTAATACAAGATACAAGATACAATTAAAGTATAACATAACTATTGCTATAGCACAATGATTGGTATTGTTCATGGCCGTTATAAAATAATTGTATGTTGTTTTCGACCTTTTAATATTTTACTGACATGAATAGCGTCGATTTAAATCTATAACCCACACGCGTGGAACTAAATTAACAGACAGCAGTAAAGTATCAAAGCATGGAATGGCGTACCAATTTTATACATCCAAACCTCCTTGGTGGGGAACTCAAACCTTATTACGACGCCATTAAACAAATTGCCGGGCGCTTAGGAGTAATGGAATTAACTTAATCGAATAGTTGTTTACATTGTGTCACTGGGAGCAATTAAAATTGTTTCCGTAGACAATAAATCATTGTGTTGAAAGTGAAACATCACGCCGGTAGGTGCACACCTTGCAATAAATTTAACAATTACTTGGCGAAATTCCGAAGGCAACGCTCCGCGGCGTCAGTGGATGAGAAAATTAAATTAATTACTTGTAATACGCCAATCTACGAAAGTTAACGATACTAATAAAACAATAGAAGTCTATCGATGAAACGGCAGATTCTTAATAATTGTTACTAAATATATTATTCAAAGGTTTTGATTTTTATTTATACGAGAAAGTGGCATACGAGCCGGCGGATCACCTGAAGTTAAGTGATAACCGCCACCCTAAGACATTTGCAGCACCCGTAGTGGTGCAGATGCGTTGCCACCTTTTAATAAAGTAGGCCCCGTTTACCTCACCAGACGAAACGCAGAAGAATAACACTTCCACTACACGCAGGTCTTTTGTTTATGTGAACAGTTACCAAGCGAGCAGACGGTTCACCTGATGTTAAGTGAATACCGCCGCCCATGGACATCTGCAACACCCGAGCATTCCAGATGCGTTGACAACAAACTTGTGCTCTTGTTGGTGTCTGAATTATATACTACCACATATATTATTCGCAACCTATGCAGTATATCACTGTATGTTAATAAACTAAAAGATGATTCCTGTGTTGAAATGTTAACACCCCATGTGCTTTTGTTTCGTTGAAAGTCAACATCGTATTCAGATTTTCCCTGCGTGCTGAATATATTAGCATACGAGCCCTATTATTAATACTAATCTCCACATTGACTCCGCGTCACATTGTGTACACATTTCCGCACTTAGCGCCGTGTTAATTTGACGATGACGGTCGCTCAGCGATCCGTCAACGCCGCGGGCTGCGAAGCGTCTTTATGACACCTAATTGTAAGATCATCCAGTGAACCGAAGGGGTGACTGATTGCTGCTCCATGACTCGCCAAATTTTATCAAATGGCTTTCGAGAGAGAAAGTGAAGCGTCGCTCAGGCATTCCTTATAGAAAAGCAATTAAATTATTGAATTTTAAAAATTTTGGCGACCCGAATGGCGTTGTGGGTAGGGTACCTGCCTCCTGCGCCAGAGGGTGTGGATTCGATCCCCACTACTGGAAAAATATTGTGTGATGAACATAGTGTTTTTCTAGTGTCTGGGTGTTTATATATGTATCATATGTATTTATTTACAAAAGAAAAGTATGTTAAAGTATGTTTATCAGTTTTCTAGTACCCATATTACAAGCTTTGCTTAGTTTGGGACTAGAGAATGTTGTGTAAAAATGTGTCCTAAAAATATTTATTTATTTATTTATTTTATTTATTTATTAGTGGTAACAAAATCTAATTTCTTTTTGTGAATCACTTAAAAAACTGCATTTTTAAGTTCGATTAAAAGTTTAACACGGTGACATTAGTCGTTTTAAGCGAATACATTGGTAAATAAATAACACTATATTTCATTACGAAAATATTTGTTTGTATGTTTGCTTTCTCTTCTATAGAAAATGACTTGGTAAAATCCTTAAAATAGTTAAGTTTAACAATAATCTTGTAGTGTCTACAGAATGCGGTTCAATGATTACATTTTGAACTCGAGCTACGGATATTCAGTTTCGTAGACGGAACAAAAGGCTCGCCCGCGATAATTGGATGTGGCCTTTCCGAACGCACACTAGACGAGACTTAATTGAGGTTTTAGAGTTGGGCTAATTCGCCCACCTTCGATCAGGCTCGCTCCCCTGATCCCTTCGGGTTGAAAGGCTTCGTCTGGCAGCCCGGTTAGCGCCAACAATAATACTGCGGCGAAGCTATTGAGGTTAAGTGAGGTACATTGGTGTTCTGTTTCTCAAACTGGCTTTGGTGAACGCTTCGTTTCGTGCCTTAAGTGCCCCCAATACATACGAAGGCCTCGCGTCCGCCCCGGTTTTCTTTATCTCGAAAATAATATGGAAAACTAATCTGCGAAAAGCGCTACTCTAACACAAGTGAAACACAAAGGCCGACGTGATTAACAGTCCTCTCACGTGCCGCGCAACAAAAAGTAACAACTAAATATTGCGGAGACGGTCCAATAGAGGTCGGGTGCGGATAACAAAAAGTGGGGACCGGACCGGGCCCTCGACACCCGCGCAGATATGATAATCCCGAGTATGTAAAATAGTGAAATTTAAGGCCTCTCCATGTGAAGAATTGTGCTCGTTCGGTAGGCAAATTATTCTAATGCGGCCCTTTTATTCGAGGCACACGCCGCTCTCGGGCCGAGCAGCTCTACCGACACTCATTTGTATTTCAATAAAACACCACTAGCCCTATCTAAACAGAACCCATAATTCTGATTTTATACCAACCACAACTATCTGCCCACTAATGTTATGTTTATCATTTCACTGAACGGTTCAATATTTCATAATGATGTATCGTGCTGGAAGGAAGCAATTGATTATCATTCATGAAATTTAAATTATGAATGATATTTGTCATAAAAAGCTTTTTTTAAAAAAAGTTAAACGCTAGAAAAGAGCGCGTATACGAGTTTCTCTATTTAAAGTCCATATTTCACAGAGGCCCGTGCTAGTCTAATATTATTATTTGATAGAGTATGTATAAATAATTTTAACTGACTTCAGAAAAGGAGGAGGTTCCCAATTCGTCTGTATTTTTTTTATCATAGAAAGAGGTTTTAAAAAAAATTAACACTCATATTGCGAAGACGGTCATGAAAATAAATCAAGAAATATTATTTTTATGTAATATGCGATATATAAGTACATATAAATAATAAAACTCATTACATTTTAACAGGTTCTAAACACACGGTGAATAACAGCGTATTATTAAATGTCTTCAGGCGAAATATTTTCTCAAGTCCGCCATCCATCAATCGGTATTCAATGAATCAATTTGAATACATTGAGCGGCGGCTGGGCTCATCGAAGTTTGCGAAAAGTTAGCCGCTACGGGGTATACCTCGCTAACGCGAACAAAAAACATTCCACGGCCCGCCCACAACACATAAGCCGGGTTACCGACGCCGTCGAGGTGCACTCGTCGGTGCGTGAATTCGTCGGGGAACGGAGGCGACATATCGAGGCGACGGAACCCGGTCGGTCCGGCGTATATCGTCTCGGCTGTCCGATTTGCATAGCGTCGGAAAGTCCACAATCGCATTCTCCTCATCAGCGTGCGGGGAGCGCGATCCTTCCTTCCATCTGCCGTCTTCCTGCGTCCACCCCCGTTTTTGTTCGAGCACGCCCGGCGGCGATGTCCGCGATACATAAATTTTTGCGATCGGTCATCCCTTAAAAACAAGTTTAGCTCTTTATCCATGGGAGAGCAAGTTAAAGAATGGCTCGCCCGTACGTTACCCCCCGATTCGTTACGTATTCAAATTATTTCGCCATCCTGTTTTTGCGTCCATTTGTATTGCGATGTGTACCTACCGGGTTTTGGGCTCTTTTGTCGTTTGATTAATTAGAGACTTATAAATAAGGTTGAACCTTTTCGCTAGTTTGAATAGTACTGTTTAGATTTAGGTGCTTTATTTCCGTTTTTTTACATCTCCTCCTATTGCGTAGCGTTGGTACAACGATTTTATATTCCCGTTATGTATAATTTATTCCCGTTTTGTACAGTGTAAACTTAATTTTTGAAGTGAAAACTTCTGTAGGCACGTTGGGCCATTTTGAATGGGGAAACATTCGTAGGTTCGCGTCACCGTCATGCTAATGTCCGGTTACATTTTTGATATCATGTAGTTTTTTAATATACGTTTAAAATATGGTCAGAAAAGAAATTAAAATAGCCGTTGTGGGAATCGAACCCACGTCTTCGGCATTCGCGGCCTGACTTTTTATTCATACTATATTTCATTTAAAAATTAATGAAAAAACAATTACTCCAGCTTTAATTTTTCCAATCTGTCGCCATTCACCGACTGCTTTTTTATATGATACTTCAGACGTGCGGTATATCCGATGTCTATGCGTAATTAATTAGCGCGTCGTGTGGCCGAACTAAGGCGATAGTCTCGTCAAGAGGTACCCCCCACGAGCCTCCAGACGGGATGCCCTGCCTAAACCCACCCAGTGTCGACTTACGATACATCGACTTACGTGTGATTCCCTCCGGCTTATTGAATAATGAGACCTAAATTTAGCCCTTTCTACACGTAACAATCTATGCTACATTTTATATAAATTAATTAAGAGAGATATTATCCCGCTTAGAATAAAAATTATTTTTATAAAAATGTTCTGAAATTTCATTTAAAAAAATATTTTTCATTCATTTGCTATTAAATTTCGTATTTAAAAAATTTTAATACATGTTTTTATACCGTATATTGGTAGAATACACAAGTACAAGTCACCCTTTGTAGCATTCTATCTAGTCAAACGAACTCCTCGTTCTGTCCTAAGTTACCTACGCACGATATTGAACTGGCGACTAGAACATTCTACTCTTATGACGCCCGCTATCTTTCGTGCAGAGCCAAGCAAAAAGTCGCGTTCGCTACCCTTCAAGCGACTACAATAGCAGCAGCAGAGCGCGGATCTGTTGACGCCCACACGCCAGCCGGAACCTTTCGGCTCGGTCTTTGTGTTAAGACACAATGCGCCACGGACATGCTCATGCGCGATTAGGGTTACCAGATATCGATGGGTCCTCTGACGGCTATTTTTACGGTGAAATTTTTCATTTCTTTTCTTTTTTTTTTTTTTTTTTCATTTCCTTGAAAAATTTGACATTGTGTCTTTTGAGAAATTTTTCCAATACTTTTTAGGGTTCCGTACCCAAAGGGTAAAACGGAACTCTGTTACTCTCTCTGTACCCTATTACTACTCTGTCTGTCCGTCTGCAACTCATGAACCGTGATAGTTAGTTGAAATTTTCACAGAATAATAAAATATTTACAACTATAAGAAACATAATTTTTTTGCCGTTTTTATAGATAATGTACGGCACCCTTCTTGCTCGAGTCCAATTCGCACTTGCCCGGTTTTTAGAGTAGTTCAATTACGGTATCTTTTAGGTTTAACTTGCATTACTAAAGAACGATATCTGTTTTATATAACATAGCTTACCATTAATAGCACAACTTTAACATACATAAACAAATACATTATTTTAATAAATTTTATTATTAACGCTTGTCGTGAGTTTTCACAGATATATCAACCTATAAACACGCCCCTTAGGTAGATACATTATGGACACGTTATTTTTATCCCATGTAAGATCCTCAATATAGCAAATGTAGTCAAAAATAAATAAATGGGGCTCTGTTAAAAACCAACACAAATAATACATTAATTCAATGTTTATTCGGTGAGCTGTCAGTTAGTACATTTGATTAGACATTCATGTTGCCCGATGTATATTCGAAAACTATAATATGTCTTGTGGGTCGTCCACGCCTATTTTCTGGGCACGATTCAACCGGCGCGAGTGTCAACTTCAACAGTCAAAGCACCCGAAGATAAAGCGTCGCGTATGCATGCGGTGCACGTACGTTCTTTACAAATTCAGAGCTGATGTGAAGCCATTCAAATGGCGGATAAGTTTCGCCCGGTGTGCGACCGCCCGAGCGCGATAAGTTGCCACAGATTCACAATGAGCGAATCGTGAGAAGATTGCTCATTATGCTCGGCTACTTTGGAGATTTAGGTGTTGCACGTTTAAATACGGTTATTTAGAAACTGCACGAAATTTAACTTATAGGGTTCGTGGTACAGTTCCCGTATACGAGTATCTATATAGAGTAACGAGTATATGTCAATACTCGGTTCGTCCGGATACAACGGATGTGGTTGAAGTGTTATCCACTTCATTTAAATTAACAGCCTATAAATGTCCCAGTGCTGGGCAAATGCCCCATCTATACAGATGGTATTAGGGCATAGCCCACCACGTGATCCCACTGCGGATTGGCGGATTTCACATATGTTCAATATATATATTTTTTGTTATTATTTCTAAATTATGCAGGTTTACTCACATTGTGTTTCTTCACCGCTGACTAAGTGATAAGACGGCACTTAAAATCAACAATTTCATTGGTGCCGGCACCGTAGATTGAACTGAGGTTGCTCGAGTATATTGAATTAAAAGCGAGCGCCTGGACAGTGAGCTATCACGTCTACTATACTACTTTCTTTAAACGCTACCGGAATTCCAACCCCTTTACTCGCGAACCAACGTTCCGTGACTCCCATGTTACCAAATTACATTTTAAGACATGTTATAATTTGTCATGTTTTCGCGAACAGCACAATATTATGCTCGGTTCGTCCACCATCCCGTCACTAAGAACGATATATATATATACACACACGTATATATTGTGTATATATATATACAACAATATAAAACGCGAAAAATCCCTAAAAATCATAACATTTATGATTTACCTCGAAGTTGATACATACGTTACAAAAATACACCGCTAAGAATTTTCAATTGTTTGCAAAGTCCGCCGTCTAAACAGCGAATCGGTGAGTTTTGGGCAACATCTTCGGAGGCTCATAAGCATGACAAAAGTCTCCTCGGACACATGTCGCCGATAGCATTAGCGATGTAAAAAGCTGGCAGGCAGAGAGCGGAAAGTGCGGAGAGTCGGCCGACATTCGGCCCAACAAAACGTATGGGGAGCCCAGCGGAGCATGGCGCTGTGACTCATGCAGTTATTCAATAAACCACGCCGTCTCTTATCCCCGCTTACGCTACCGTGAAAGAATACGTAAATGCAGACATAGGGTTATATCGGATTTTGATTTTATTGCTATGCCAATGCTTTTATTGGGACTAATATTTATTGCCCGTACGAAACTGTTATTTATTATGCCCCTTAGAATTTCAAATGACCACCAATTGAGTGTTTACGCAGTAAGACCTTAACCTTACAAATAACACTATTATTTTTAATTAACACAGAAAGAATAAATAACGTAAAATTATGTGGAAAACAAAATATGAACCGCATAAAACTAACTTCGTCGAATCCATAACTTTGTTATATATTCTTAATTTCGTTTTTTATAACAATAATTCTTTCAACCATAGTTGAGCCTTACAATAACAATAAGCATATATTATGTTACAGAAAAATAAACCGAAATAGTTAGATACTAACCTCCCTTAACTAATCATAATAAACATTATACTCTCTTATTATGTTCAAAATTAATGGTCTATTTTTTTCTTTCCAAGTATAACGTTCTCGTAAGGCATAGCACGTGCAATCGACACGGGTTTCGACCCTCGATACCGTCGAGACACACAAATCATGCAACATATCGCTCTTACAAATATTGAAACGCTTCTACCGTCGCATACACAACCGACCCGCTTCGAAAGATTTGTTTAAATACTAGGCAAAGTATCATTATGGCCATTTTCTATTTACATCATTATTAAAAATTTTTAAATATATCAATTTTAAAACTAATTACATATCATATTTGAAGTAAAAAAAAGCAAAGTACCAAATTACGATTAGTAAAATAGCCCTACGCCCAGGGAACAGTAATGCAATCAAATCGTCAGAGGAACCCAATGCGAAGCGCTTTTACAGCGCAATAAAATATCGAAATGAAAATTCGCCCGCGAACCTGCAATAAAATAAAATACTAACCGTTTTTACGGCGCCGACAATATAATGAAATAATCGTAATGGCCGCTGCCGTCACGTTGAATTGTCCAATAAATCTTCCTCGGGTCATATTGTCCGCAGTGCTCTTGACAACACTTTAATATCGAGGAATATCATCCTCGCAATCGAACGCGCGCGCACTAGCCGCTCTCGGTAAATCATGCCCCCTCGGCTGTCGTTTATTTTTTTAGACTTTCCATTTCTAAATAGAGTCCCTGAGCAGCGGGCCAGCGCGTCCTCCTTCCGGGGCGGTTTTTATATGATTTGTCGGCAGTCGTCCGCTTCCCTTTATACCGTCAATATTTCAAATACTAATTGTTATAAATCAGAAAACTTTCCCGCTAGCCCGTCGTTGTCGTATCGATCGGGATAAACGTTATCGAGTCCGTAATTATCGTGTCTGGTGTATTGTGTGGCGGGTGTATTGTTTATGAGCGACGAATGGCCACTGAGAGGTGTGCGTGAAAGAAAGCGTGTTAAATTATGAAGGTACACTTAGCGCGTCAATCCACGCACTGCCCCGTAAAAGTTCCCGCCCATGAAACATTAACAAGCACTCAAGAAAATTCCCGGGCTCGGCCCCGTTCGTTAAGTAGTGTCAGCCTGTAGTTTTTCCCACCTCGAG